TTTCTTAAAGCAAATTGTATAAAATCTTTTTCTAATGTTAATTTTAAGTATGCTATTAGAAGAAAGCAACCAACAAACCTAAGATTTAGAAGTGGGATTCACAGCTTTAATAAGTCTCTCAAAGCAAAAAAATAAGTCACAAACCATTGTTTGATATTTAAACTAAAATAGTAATAACATAATATGAATTTCATTCCTATGAATGAAATTAAGGTGGAAACAAGCTAATGTGTTAGGTTATTCTTAACACTTTTCTCAAAGACTCAGTTTTAAATAACTTTACAATCACATGACCACTGAACCCTTTCAGATCCAAAATATTTTAATTTTTTTTAGTATCTTCTGTTACATGAAACAGAAACAGATTGAGTTGAATTGTTGCTATAATGCTATCTAAATGTTCATAAGTATTTTTCAAGTGTGTCCTGGGCCTTAGCACCTCTGAAGTCACCAACTGTTTTGCATGTTGTCGCGGGTGTCACTATAGAGTTCTGCAGAACAAGACTTGCCCGGTTCTCATTAGTAACTGCCTAATATTTTAAATACTTCTCTTTTAAAGTTAGGTATAGATTTCATAGCTCCATCTCGTCACTCTTTTCTCCTAAAGGTGCCGATTTAAGAACTGGACAAACTTAAAAGGGAGGTTTGGATAGGGAAAAGAAAATTAAATATTAATTAATAATGAAATACTTTTAGATTAATTCAGAAGACAATTTAGTACTATTTATATTAGAAGAAAAAAACTAAAGAGGAGGAAAAAAATCTCAAGAGGAGGAATACTAACCGCATGAGTCTGATAAAAGAGGATATAACATAGCTGAAGTAATAATGTCATTAATTTTTTTGGATGAAGAGAAATTAAAGACAAACTTCCATATTTAATAAGGAAAATATTGCAAATTAATTTTGAATCCAGGAATTGAAGTAAGAAGAACAAGGAATGATGGATTTTGGTTGGTTTTTGCTAGTTTTGCTAATTCCATTCCATATTTTCTGAGAAAGCAAAATCCGGTCATGCCAGCTATTCCTACTCTCTTTTCTAGCTGGCTTTTCTCTTTTCTCCATATGCTATTTCTCTTCACTCTTTCTGCTTCCTTTTCTTTTGACTTCCCTTACACCAGCCACCTCTTTCCCAGGGCTCAGGATGGATCTGATGTTTGTTCTACATAGCGTCCTGCTCTCCTGATGTCTAGGGAGAGGAGTCAGAGCCTTGCGGGCCAGCCTCCCTGCTGTCAGTGCTCAGGGATCTGTCAAGGTCTCTGACTGAGTTATCCTGAAAGAGATGATTATTCCAGGGCTCTTGCTATTCTCTCTTCCTCAGAATCTACTTCCATCTATTCTTCCATTAAAAGGTAGTGCTGTTACTCATTTAAAAAGGTAAGGACTTAGGAAAAGGTACAATAAAAACTGATGAAAATATAATTTTTTTCCTATAGGCAGAAATACAATTTCCAAAAGAGAGAGAATACTTTCCTTGCTAACATAAAACTTAATTTAAAGCTAAGAGAAGGAGCAGCAGAAAGAATATTGAGCTGTAACGTCAAATTTACCCAAAAGTTTTGTGATCTAGATGGTCTAGACCAGTGCGCTGTATAATTGAAATATAATTGAAAGGCACAAATGAGAGCCATGTGTGTAATTTTAAATTTTTCAGCAACTACTTTTCAAAAAAGCAAAAAGAAAAGATAAATTCACATTAGTCATATATTTAAGCCAGTATTTCTAAAACATTATCATTTCAACATGTGATTATACAAAAACTGGTAGTAACACATTCCATATTCTTTTTTTGGTACCAAGTTTTTGAAAGCTAGTGCATATTTACACTTATATCTCAGTTTGGACAAACCTTTCAAGTGCTCAGCAGCCATATGTGGCTAGTAGCCACCATACTGCACAGCACTGTAGAAATCAGAAAGCAGTCTGCAATAAACCTTAATGAAATTGGCTTTCCAATTGCTCTTGATCACGGCACTTATTGTAATGCTCTATTTCTTACTCTAGTCATTGTTCTTTCTTACTGAGTGTGAAAAATTCTGAAATACCCTGTGCTTACAAAATCAATATATCTAAAACAAAACTTACCCTCTTGACTCCCCACTGCCCCCTACCCCACCCCAAATGAGTAGCTCATTCTAGCACCTTGTGTCAGATGATGGTCTCCTTTTCATTACCCTGCTCAAATCCCAAGTCAACTTTAACATTTTCTTCTCCTTTCCCTAAGTAGTCCATCAAATCACATGATTTGTTCCTTTATGGTTTCTCTTGCATTCTCAGTGAAATCCTGGAGTACAACAGTTATTTGCTAGTTTATCTATGGTAATGTGTATACCCTACACATTTTAGAAGTGGGAAGAAAGGAAGATATTACGATCTTGGAAATGGCTTGATAGCATCACAGAATAGTTTTACCTTTGGAGCCAATTAATTTCTGGTTATCTTGATATTTATATTTAATCTTTGAAAACTGATAAGAAAAATCTCTCTGTAGAGCTGGCAAAAACTGGAACTAATAGGTAATAAATTATTTTATAATACACAGAACCACAAGATGCAAATAAGTCCTGTCAGGAATGAACATTGCTAAATAGACATCCAAAGGAAAAGAAAAGAAAAATCAGAGAAGGATGAAATCTGACATTCTAATATGAGACATTAAAGGAATAACAAATAAATAATTTAATAGAATAATAATTTAATAGAAAATCAGTGGGAGAACTGGTAGGCCTACTTTATAGAGCAAACCTAGCCAAAAAATGTCTATGGTCAACACTTTGTTGTTGAAAAACCAGGCAGACTTCTAGGAATTTAGGATTAGTACCACTCTACCACTCTACCCAGTAAAATCTGTCCTTCTCAGTACCTAGATAGAAATGTAAATAAGTGTATGCAAACGTGGTATCCATCTTCTAGTAAGAGCTGTTTCCTTGCACCACCAATTCTGGCTAATTTTTTTAATATTTTGTAGGAATGGAGTCTCACTATGTTGCCCAGGCTGATCTTGAACTCCTAGCCTCAAGTGATCCTCCTGCCTTGGCCTCTCAAAGTGTTGGGATTATAGGCATGAGCTAGTACCCTCCTTGTTCTCACTTTTGTCTGAGTTTCAAAGGTTTCAAATGATTCAGAAAAACTCCTGTGCGTATGTGTGTGTGTGTGTGTGTGTGTATGTATTGTCCCTTCTCAGGGTAACATTATAAATTATTATGAAATACCAGACATAAATTTGGCAGGCCCCAGCCCCAAGTATTATTAGTATTATTTTTATTTATTTATTTTGTTTTTGAGACAGATCATCTTACTATGTAGCCCAGGCTAGATTTGAACACCTGGGCTCAAATGATCCTCCCACCTGAGCCTCTAAAGTAGCTGAAACTACAGCTGCAACACTGCCTCTGGCTTTTGAAAGACACTGCACATATGTACCTATACATACAAATCATCTTACAAAAAGCCTATCTTGTTTATTTTGAAATTCCTCATGCTCACAAATAGAAAGATAATAGTGGATTTCTAGCACTAAATTACTGAGCTGCTGCTTGTCCATGTTCTGTACTTGCTTATCAACTGGTGACTCACAATCAGTCCTATTTAATTATTGGCTTTGCAGGAGAATGCTAAGAATTCATAAATTTAGAAGTGTAAATGAGTAAAAATGTGCAAATTCTTTTCATTATAGTTATATATGCTCTGGAAATAGGTGAGCATGACATAAAAAGATAGATTTAGGAATATTATCACCTTTTGTTTATGTAATTACTCTCTCCAAGGGGCTTTATTAAAGCATTTTGAAGCATAAAAGGCAACATCCCATTAGTGAGAAAGAAGTAAACTGCTTATTTTTAGTAAGTGGTTTTAAGTAATCAGGATACATTTAATAAATTTTACCTTCTGTTGCCCAAATGGTATCTAACAATTTGAAAAAAGATTTTATACTTTCAAAAAATAGCTAATTTCCCACTTAATATTTTGAATGTGTTCAGTTCAAATATGAAAACATAAAGTTATAAATTCTTCTTCAGTATTCAGGACTGCATATATAACAATAATTTAGCACAATGTTTCAAAAGTTTATGAATATGTCTCCCTGATTTTACATATTTTTAAAATCTTAAGTTTGCCTGTGAAAAATAACAAAATATAGTGAATTAACATAGAATGTTTTACAACATTTCCTTAGATAGAGAATGTCAAGGGAAATGAATCTTCATAATGTACACATGACTAATTACCTGGTTTAAGAGATCTTCTACTTTCTTCTGCCATGAATCTCTAGCTGCATTTTTCTCTCTCTCTTTTAACTGCAAAAGTTGAGACATCGCTGACTTCTTATCCTCTTCATGCTGAAGCCTTAACTCTTCACGAAGTTTAGAACACTCTTGTCTAAAATAAAATAAATGCATTTACTTTATAAAGAGAATTATTCCTCTCAGTAACTGCAGTTCAACTGCAGATGAACGTTCAGAGGTTTCCTAAGCACTCAATTAATCCTCTACAAAAGTCTATGACTCTGAGTAAGAGTAGATTATTTTATGGTTAAGAACTATGAGGTAAATTGGTAACTTACACAAGATCACTGATATACCAATGTATTAATGGCAGAATAGGTACTAGAACAAATAAGTCTTCTAACTTCAGGTTAGTTCTCTGCCTATTTTATATTCAAGTAAATGAAATCAGAAAAAAAAAAGAATTCCAATTTTTCTGCATCTAATCATCGAAAAACTGCATTTAAAATACTGCTACTATGTCTTTAATAATGTGACAACGTGAGCCATATGGGAGAAAAATGTTCTTGCCTATCTGTGTTGATGAGATTACATTACAGAGTAAAAAGCATACCTAAGATTTTCAGTCCACTTGATTTCTAACTCATGGGCCATTTTGTCCACTCTGAGCTTCTCTTCTTCTTTCATGGTTGCAAGTGTTTCTTCATGCTGTTGCCTTTCTTGTTCTAGCTCACCCTGAAGAATAAAAATTTTTCAATGAAGACTAGTCTTAAAAAGCAAAGACACTGCTGGTTATTTCAAATAAGTAGAGTGCTT